AGAGAGAGGGAGAGAGAGAAAGAGGGAGAGAGATATATAGAGAGAGCGAGAGAGAAAGAGCAATTCGATAGAGCGTCCAACAATATACTAAAAGCTTGAATTCGAAAAAGTCGAACAATTATTAAGGTTTTCGATATTTTTCTACCCTGGGATGGCAAATTTTTGAAAAGATTTTTTCCTCTCGGCAAACGCCAAAAAAGCGACTAAAAATTTTTTTCACTTGGAAAAATGTTAGGTAAAAGTTTTATCTCGTAAAAACCGGGGTTCAAACTATCCATGATTTGGAAATGCCATCCTAAATATCGGATAGCGGTTAGTACAATTGGGTGCGGGCTGGGCCCACCCTGGGACGGGGCCCCCATCCATTCGATTAGCTTCCTTTAGTGATGCTAGCTAATGGAGGGGAAAGGCTGCACACACCATGGCCCTCTTCTGTTTGGCGGCCATCCCGCCAGCCCACTCAACAATATTGGGATCCGGAATTCAAATCGGCCTTCCAGAAATTTGGGACTAGAAAGACAAATGCCCAAAAATCATAGCAAAAATAGCAAAATCACAGTTCCAGTCCTTAAATGAAATTTTCGGCAATTAAAAAAATTGGCATCAAATGCCGGCCAACAGGGGTTGCCAGCACCCACTACACACCGGCATATTTGCCCTGGCAACTCGTGAAAAACCAACGAAACAAGGAGAACCGCTTGCTCTCCGCCTACCACGAAACAAAAAGATTAAAGCGAGAATAATTCTGAAATGCCGGGTGCACGGGGCGCAATTAGTAACAATTTGGAATTCTGAAGCCCGTACATTTTTCGATCGAAGCTTGGGCCTGACTGGCAAAAAGCGCCTTTGATAAGATTTGCCTCTGAGGCTGGGGGCTGATCACTAAATATGCTAGGCAAATAGCGGGGAGCGTGCAAATATTTTTCCAAGAAAAATGTATTCATTTAAGGGACAATTGTAGAGAAGAGAAAGAGAGGAGAGAGAGATAGAGAGAGAGAGAGAGAGAGAGAGAGAAAGAGAGGGAGAAAGAAAGACATTTTTTGAAATGCAACATCTGAAAAGTCCAAATTCAAAAAACGTATAAAATTTGATAAGGGCTTTTAACGACGACATAATTCAGCAGTTGACTGTAGCTAAACCTAACAAGTTCCCTTCCGTTAAGCTCTAAAAAACACTTCTGAAATTCGAGCCCGAACATTCTCGACAAAATGCTGAACAAACAAAACATCCATGCAAAGGCCGTTTTCCACCCGAAAATTCCGAAACATTCCAATATATACCGCAAACAAAAGTACAACAAATTTGTTTATACTGTGCTTTGAGATATTTGCCAATTTTCTGATATAAACATTTATTCCGTCTACGCGCCACAAGACCAGGTAGCAAAAAACGTGTGTACAAGAAAGTTTGGTGGACAAATGTCGGGTGCCGGGTGTGAAAAGTGCAGGGAAAGAGCATATTTTAAAGTTTTCTATATCTTTTGAAAAAAATCTACGCGCTTGGTACCCATAGGAGTCGATTCAGAAAAGGGAAAAGCTGAAGGTTTGAAGAAACGGCTTAGGCTTAGCTTAAGCTTAGCCTGGGCTTAGGCTTGGGCTTAGGCTTAGGCTTAGGCTTAGGCTTGACTAAAATGCGATTAAAAATGTAAGGGTTTGACTACGGGAATAAATTACGGGGGCTTATCACAATCATTGTTTTGGGGAACCAGCATTGAGGAGATACGAGTTTTCAAGAGAAAACTCGTTTAAAAAGTATTAAAAATTAATTTAGAAAATTAAGCAGCCGGTATGTTGATTCTTTACCATCCCATCTTGACGGAGCGGATGATCTCGAAGATGGCTGAAAGCGGCGGATAAATCAAGCAATTTTCACTATTTTTTTGCTTTGTAATTGTTTGATCATCAACATTTTTTGAAAAGGTTTTTGTATTTGTCAAGCGGCCACGCTAATCCAAAAATTCTCGCTAAATCCAAAGTTAAAATCCGTTTTACAGCGAAATTTGGGAAAAAGCTTTCAAAATTTGATTAAATGGTAGCAGACTAAGTATCGTTAAACGTTTTTTATCGATCTACCGTTATTAATTCTGTTTTTAACCTACCAGATCCGCAAACAACGAAAACGAAGAGTCCGATGAGCCACGGGGCGGCCGGGTACTTGTCCTCCTTGGGCTTCTGAAAAGAAGTATACTTATTTATTTTAGGATATTTTAAATAACCCGACCTACTTAAATTTTGCATGTTTTCCTGGTCAAGCTAAACTTTAATTTACCGCTTTACTGAGTTTACTAAATACTAATGGCGATGCTTACAACTCCTAGTGATTCGAATTTAGCCACTCCCACCCCGCGCGAAACCGGCCTACGCAAATCCGCCAAAAAATGTGAAGCCCCTCTTCCGGGGCGAATTAGTTGCTAGGTGACAGAATTTAGAGGATCACGCTCAGGAGGGAGGCGCTTCCGGAAATTGGCGATTTGCGGCTGTAGGGCGACTTGAGGCACATACTGGGTATTTTTAGGTCTCATTAGTTACCGTAGCCATGACTTAACAGCTAAAAAACATGTAAAAATTGGATCTCTAAGAAAGTTCAAGGCAACTAAAAGCCTAAACCTTGATCACAAGGTCTGTTTGCCTTTTCAGTCCCTTTAAAACGGTAAAGCCTTTTGATATACTTTTAAAGGCGGCTCGTAAGCCCAAAACGAACGAATCAAGCAGGATTTTAAGCTATCTTGAAGCCTAAAATTAACATCAAAGTTACCTCGTATACTTTGTATTGCCGATAATAACCCAAAAACGCACCAGCGACTTGGCGACGGATCCCCGCTGCTTGATGTTCTTGGCGAACTGCTCGTTGGCGACGTTCATGCGTTGCTTGGGGGCCATTTTAAAGGGCTTTTTGGAGGTTTGGAGGGTAGAGTCAAGAACTGAAAAATATTTTATGTTAGGGTATTTACGATTTAAATGTCAAGTAGAAAAATAGACGTGTTGAAAACCTTCAATAAACGAAAAATGCGAAAAATTAGGTTTTGGTCGGTGAAAGCTATCAAATTGCGAAATGTCATCGATTTAGGGATTCTCGGAATCGGGTTTAATCTTAAATGGTCTAATAGGCAGTTTCTAAGCTGATTTGGCCGGAAATAAACGGTTCAGAAGCTCTTAAGGGCGCCACAACCCAGCTACGAAAGTTACAGTATCCAAACCCACACCCAAAATCTGTCGAAAAGACGGATCTATCGAACGCCAAATTCTGCCTCGTGGCAAATCGCTATAAACGGGCCGTTGAGGCCAATAATACGAATGAACCGGGTGATCGGGACGGGCTTTTCGTCGCCCCTTACACGTCAAAAGCGGGGGATGGGTGGGTGGGTGTGGAGGGGAGAAGGGGGAGACGGTGGGGGCTGGAGCCCCCTGCGTCTCCACCGATTAGGCCAGGGTCCCGGCGCGAACCGAACTGCAAGCTGGCCAATTGCCAATTGGGGAGAGGGGCTATGAACTACAAAATTAGTGAAGGTTGAGGCCTTTGACCTAGCGATATCACAGAGAATCAGAAAATTACTGAGAATAAGGGAATTACTGAACTTGGGTTTTTGAATTTGAACAACTTGCAAAAAATCGATGTTGATCTGACCCAGATACCTGAAGGTGGACATCAAGGGCTCTGTCGGCATGCATCAATGGTAACGATTGATACCTACGCAAAGCATTGATTGATAGACTTCAATTTGGTACAAAACTACAAACTGCAGAAAACCAATGCGGAGCGAGCACCAAATAATTGTATTTCGGCTGAACAAAGAGCAACTTTCCAAAGTTCTGGAAGAATATTTCGGAAAATCCGAAAAACCCTCCGACTGCAGGAACCTCATAGTTTTTGAAGTTTTCAAATCCGGTTTTAGGTACGTATTCATGCCGGTCGAAAGTTGCTTTAGCATTCCCAAATATCCGCTTTCCTGTCGAACTTTAATGACACGAAGTTTGTTTTTCAAGAGGTGCAAATGTTTCCGCTTATGCAAGATTTTATTAGGAATCGTTATTAGCGGTATTATCATAAGCGTTCTTCCCGTAGCCGTTCTAGCACAGGTTGCACGACTTCTGGCAGTTGACCGTCTTCGCCGCAGTATCATAGGTGTCACTGTTGCAGAAGTCGCTGTTCTTGATCCAGGTGGCGCAGCTGAAAAATTGGAGTTTTTCAAATTAACTTGATGTCTAGGGAGAATTTGAGAAGCTGGAAAAGACTCTAAGGCTCCTAGAAAACAAAATTTTCATACTTGGTGCTCTTGTCAACACAGGTAGAAGCGGAGCAGAGGTTGCAAGTCTTGGCGCAAGTCGTCGCCCTAGAGTCGGCGTAGAACGGATTCGTGCAGTAGCCATTCCTGGCCCAGTTGACGCAGCTGAAACAGTTTTTTTTTTGGTTTTACAAGTATCGCCCTATCTCTCTCTTTCGTTCTCTCTTCCTATCTCTCTCTCTGCTCCGCGAATGTTCTCTTTAAACGAAACCTACTTGCCGTCCGTGTCCTTGCAGGCGCCGGGAAGCTAAAAACAGTAAAGATGTAAATTTCAAAAATCTGCGAAATTCCGGCACCATATTCGACTTACCGCAGCGCATTGAGTCACCGCGTTGCCGGGCAAAATCCAGCATTCGTAGCCAGACGGACAGGCGTCACCGATTTGGGCTGAAAGTTGGGTACTGTATTCACCGAAACTGAAACACGCTATGGACTTCAAAGTGCTTGGTAGGCTACAAAACTAGTAAAACTGGAATTATATATCAATCCCTTACGTCCAATGATGTTGGTATCTGGAACGCCCGTCTTGCAGGTGGCCGCTGCCTAAAAATAAAAAATAAAAAATAAATTTAAATTTAAGTTAATAAATTTCTGCTAGAACCCCTGCTAGCCTGCCCCAAATTCTCATTATGATTACCTGTTGGCAGGCGAATCCAAGAATGGCGACGGCGACGAGGTGGGCTTGCATGCTTCCGAAGTCAGAAGAGGTCGGAATTAGTGAAGTACTGCACTCATCCACACCATCCGCTTTATAGCGTAAACTTTTTCGGATTGACATTCGGCCTATTTGCGCAGTGAAGATGCGTACCGGGCCGAAGCCAGCTCGAGAACCTCAGGAATTCGCAAAGGCCCCATCCGACCTTCACGCAAAAATTTGTTGGGCTGCCGAATGCACGGAAGCGCCAATTCGGATCCTCACACCGGCTGTGTAAACTTTAAGGTGCTAATCGCACTCCTCATCCCCCGCCAAAAGCTGCCGATCTCCGTAAAAAAGGGATTTTTGAACCTGGACCGGCTAGCTCTAGACCGTTAGGTTACGTAAAATTTATTCTAGTTGGATGCAAGTATTATTGTTATTTCCTTACGTTACATGAAGTTTTCTACATTTTCTTTCCCTTACAACTTGGCTACTGGGTACGTCCTTAGCATATGTTGTATTATCACCTAACCAGCTTGATTACGCCGCTGGTTTAACACAGTTTTTTGAAGTTTTTGCAGCCTGGTGCGCTCACCTTCCAAGACCTTTGTTATTCGACGCTAGATCAAAACGTAACTCTCGCTGTTAGCGTCCATATCCTATGTTATAGTTTTATTTCACCAGCTTTGGTACATCTTTCGCTGGAGTTTTTCTCTTAAATTCAATGGGTTTTTTACTTTTTAGCCTAAGGGATATATATCCAAGTAACCACTGCAGGTTCGAAATCTGGGAGAATCGATCCACTCTTATGAAACCGCCTGTTCTTTTTTCGCTCGGAAGGTGTTCTGTGTGTTCTCACGATTCAGGCTTAGTGATTTAGAATGAACCCATTTATTAGGAATGTTATATATCGAGCTTTTCATGCATTCATCCATCGCGTCATCTTGGGGCGATCAGCACAGGTTGCACGACTTCTGGCAGTTGTCCTTCTTGGCCGCCAGATCATAGTTGGCGCTGTTGCAGAAGTTGCTGTTCTTGATCCAGGTGGCGCAGCTGAAATTGGGATGATTCTAATTCTCCAAATTTTTAGGGGATTTGGAAATTTTGACAACTTGCTAGCTTTTTAATATTGCTAAAAAAACATACTTGTTGCTCTTGTCAACACAAGTAGACGCGGTGCACAGCTTGCAAGTGTAGGGGCACGTGGTGGCCCTCGTCTTCTCATAGAATGGATCGGTACAGTAGCCGGTCTTGGCCCAGTTGGCGCAACTATAAGAAATTCTTGGTTTTCGACGCGACCTCTCTGTCTCTCTTTAGCTCGCTCTCTCTCTCTCATTTTCTCACACGTACCGATTACTAACGCGAACTTACTTGTTGCTGGCGTCTTTGCACGATGCGACCTTGTGCTGAAATTTCTGGGTTTAAATGATACCTCGAAAACGAAGATTACAACGATTTAATAATTAGCTATTTAGTAATAATTAAATCTGACTCACGTCAACGCACTGTCCTGCTCCATCGATCTTAATGCAATCGTATCCGGTTGGGCACGAGTCAGCGATCGCGGCTGTAAATAGCAACATGAAAAAATACATGGAATAAAACTGATATCTGAGAGTTGCTTTTACTTACGCCCAATAATGTACTGGGTCGGAACCGACGGGCCGGCTGGACACTCGGAGGTTGCCTGAAATCGGGGGTTCGTTGAGTCTGATTTTAGACAAATGATCTTCGCGTAGAGGAACATCCGGTTTAGGTTGAAGCCTATGCCTAAGCCTAAGCGGAAGTTGACAATAGCCGCTGCTAGCCTGCTCCGCATTCTACTGCCACTTACCTGCTGGCAGACACATCCAAGAATAGCGACGACGGCGAGGTAGGCCTGCATGCTTCAGAAGTTAGCTAAGACCGACCGGGTTTAATGAAGTGCCAAACGGATCCACACCCTCCCTTTTATACACAAAACTTTTTCAGATCGACATTCAGACTATTTGCGCGGTGAAGAGGCGTGCCGGGCAGAAGCCAGCGTGGCAAATCCCCAGGAATCTGCAAATCTGCCCCTCTGACCTTAGTCCCGGCCCTCGGCACAGGAATTCGTTGTGCTCATGAAGCTTCGAAAGCGCCAACGTTCGGATTCTCGCGCCGGCTGTGTAAATTCACGCGGGTCCATTTTGCACTCCCCGCCCCCAGGAGTAGCTGTTTGCTAAAAAACGCATCTCTAGCCGGTGTGGCATGAGTTCGGGAGTCGATTTCTAACGATCAAGAAATTAACAATACCTTCGAGAACTTTTTAATCAATCGTAGAAGCCTATCTCGTGCGTGTTTTCGAAAAAACGCGAAGGAAGAATTTTCTGATTCCGAAATCCAGGAAGCGTGCCGCACAGGCTGCTCCACATTGGTGTACGGAATGGTACGATATGGTACGCACCGTACATTGTTGTGCTGTGATATAATAAACTATGCCTATGCGACCCTTGATCTTCTGTTGTTTCTTATCTTGTGGCTTAAAGGCGATATGAGAGGTAGTAAATTTATCGCAATTTTCTACAAAATTTATTAGCAGAGCCCGCAGGTTGCCGAGCAGTAGTCCTTCTTGATCGAGTCGTAGAGCGCGTTCTCGCAGAAGCCGTTCGCCTTCCAGTTTTTGCAGCTGAAAAAAATTGGATAGAAGTTATTTGTTTTTGAGAATCCAAACTACAAGCCAATAAGCGTTGAGTAAACTTGGAAAGAATATTCTACTTATACGAAAAAAGGATACCTGGCGCTCTTGTCCGCGCACGTATCATAGCAAAGCCCACAGCTCTTCGCGCA